ACCTGTAAGGGTCTCGCCAGGACTGTATGTGTCAGTTATGACGGCTCCTAACAAATACTGTAGTGACTAGGTCCGCACGGAGTACATTTGTGAGCGCTTGTTGTCACTCGCAGGCCGACTCATAGAGCATCTCAGGTGACGACTGCCGAGCAGATACCATTTCAGACTTTGTCCGCTGGCTGGCTGTCGTTTGACAGTCAATTTCCTCTTTCCTATTCTCCCATTCCTTCTGTACAGAATAAATTCTTCCTACCACTCTGTCCTCCGATGATTTTTCTTCTCCTAAGGAACCGGGCCTGAAAATCGTAGTTGCCAGAGTTTAACTTACGTAATCCCCGCGATAATACGACCCAATCAGTTTCTGCAGTGATAGCTTAGTTTACAATTCATGCATTGTATCACTGAGGGACGAGTATGGACCCGAAAACACGGGTCATCACAAAGGGGGAGGCAAGAACCTATTTGCAGTCGTGTTTAGAAGATACTTCAGCCCTAGACTCACTCCGCAATGAAGGCGTAAGACTGTAGTGATCCAACTCCGCGTTCAACACTCACCCTCTCGTTTCTCACGACTGCATGCACGTGCGCACGAGTGTCCGCCGATCCGATCCTAACTGTCCAATCATCTTCAAGGTTTACTCACACAAAACGTCGCTGGATGTGCTATGATGACTCCCGCGCTCTCACAATCCGGACGCCAACTCCATGACTCCGGACGTACACTCTTTCGACTGCCAACTTCTTCTCCACTAGTTCTGTACAGTAAACACTATTCCCCCCATCTGGCCTCCCACTTCTTCTCTTTCCTCTTGCCCATACTGGTCATGGCAGGTTAAACAATGACAGCTATAAATGACTCAAAGGTTTTATGAGCGACTAGGAGAATAGAAGTTTCAATTTAATTGATCGAGTTCTCTTGGTAAGAGACGGTGAAGGTATCTTGCTACCAGTCATAACCATTTTATGTTCTGTATTACGAGGTGCATTTTTGAAACTTACTCATTTTTATTTGTCTCCTATGGTACGTTAACAGTCTCCTTTCCTGTTAGATGGGAAATATCTGTAGTGTACAGCATAATATTGGCATCAATATAAATTCCGACCGTGCTCGCGGATGCGAAATCCCCTTAATGCACACCTTGGACTGCCGTGTTTGGGCTTTCTAATCTTGCCGCTGGTTGATGTCGTCTGACGCATTGTGGTATTGCATTCTTCCTACTTAATTCAAAGTGTAATCCTCTCTCGAATTTGAATTGATTTGCTTGTCACCGTCTTCAAATATTTTGTTTATTGCTTGCCATATTTTACTTTTCCCCGCCGTCCACCCAGTCATTCCATGCAATCCTACTAATATGCATCTACGCGCTGCACCCTTCTTCGGTCTGTAATAGCCCTACTCCGGACGCCTGTTGCAACGCTACGCCTCTCGCGAGTACTTGCACGCGCGCACCAGTGTTTGTCTGGTTCTCAGCCAATCATGACTGTCCAAACCAGCCAGTCATCTTCAAGGCCGGGTCAGGCA